ATGGAACTTCTCAGTCCTTTGATGATGGATTATCGACGATGTCAATTTTAGCGGCTCTGATGCTTGCACTAGAGCTGCTATTCCGGACGGTCCCAGCTGGGGAGTATCAATGGACCATGTTACATTGGAGAGACCGCGCGTTGGTTGAGGGGAATTGGCGCCATTTTCGACTATGTACCTTGTCATGACTTTATTTTATTGCATATTGTTTTATTGTTAGCCAATGCTATGTTGTGTAGTGTATTTTTGGAATCATGGTGATACAGTCAATAATTCAAAACTTGTCTGTGCTTTAATCTCGTGATGGAAAAAATGTACTTTACGTTCAAAATTTGAAATTTTGAATTTTAAAGTTTACGCGGTTTTTTGGAAGAATGCAGTGGTTGGAGCTTCCTAGGCATATTACTCGATATCAGCTGATAGCAAACAAAGGTTACCAAGGAAACGATGACGGATTACGTTGTCGGATTGTACATCAATGACAAAATGTGTCTAGGCCCTCATTCTTGACTACAACTACCGTCGCCAGAGCCGCTTTCCGACGCAAATGCGTTGGAGCTTACTGCTTGTTTTTAAGTTACACACATTTCCTGGCAAAAAAAATGCATGCTTTCTTTTCTAATATGGGAAGTAGAATAAAAAAGAGGAAAAAAGAATAAAAAATGCGCATGATCCTAAAAACCATTTTTCAACAATGGAGAATTTTCAATTTTTTCGAGTAAGGTAGTTTTCAAAGACACCACTTAACTATATACCCGACTGATTTTGGTATCATGCAAGAACAGTTAGAATTATGGTTGGCCGAGCTAAATTTCTGACTAACTCAACCATACCTCACTGCTTCTCTGGTGGGGAACAAAATCAACTAGGAGCATCACGGCACGTTTATTCCGTGAAGACATTCAATTATCATTTTGCTTAATTTAACACGAAAAGAAACTAGACAACGTGACATGAAATTGGGATAATGCTAGGTAGATGCATGCATAGCACCGAAACTCATCAGTGAGTTCAATCGATCACTAGAAGCGTAAACAACGGAAGCTCGATCACGCTTTTATACTTCAACAACGGAAGTTCCTCTTCTACTACAAGAACATGCTCATTACTCATTGAGCCTTGGAATATAAGCATTTTTATGGATCTCGCGGTTCATCATGAAAAGGTAATAATTGTTATAACTCAACATAAACCGATTAAAATAAAGTGTTTAAATTTTTACCGAGGGAACAAAACGCAAACACTCGAGAAAAAGTAGGAGGAAAGCGATTTCCCTTTTCGTGTTTCCGTTCTGCGTCAAGCGGGGCTGGTGAGCGGGGCGCGGGGCGCGGGGAGGGGAGCTGGGGCGCAAGATATAGGGGCGGGGGGCGGTTCGAGAGGGATGTAACACACGGAACTAATTAGGATATTGTTTCTTCAAGTGGCTCCGGATCAAAGGGGAGCGCGGAACAGTTTAATTGTCCCGCAGAGCAGTGATAGCGGCATTTCTTCGCGTTTCGAATGGCCGCGGAAAAAAAGGTCGCCCGGCCCGACGAGGCGAGGCCGGCATTTTATTTCATTTCATCCGTTTCCTCGCGAGTTGGAGAGCTGTCGTCGCACAGTTGGTGGCTTTGAGTGCCTTTTGAAATCTGTGAATCTCCATGAATAAATGACATTCCTAGTAATAACGGACATTAAAAATTGCTTGCCAAAGGTTTTAATAGAGAAAAAATGAAATGTATTTCCGTTGAAAACCCCTCTGCTACATTTTTCAAGTAAGTTACAGGAGACAGAATTTACGTGAAAAGTCTTTAAGTAAAAGATTTCCATGAATTTCCATAATTTCCCTAGTAATAACCGGCTTAAAAAGCCCTTTCCAAAGGTTTTAAGAAAAAAATTAAGTTTTTTTTTCTTTTTTTTTTGAAAACTCCTCCTCTTCATTTTTCTGGTACAATTACAGGTGACAAAATTTTCGTGAAAAGTCTTCACATAAAAAATATTTTTGAAGAGTTTTTAATTTTTTTAAAAAATATTTTAAAGGTTAAAGAATTACAGTAAATCTTTTAAAAGATTGTTGCCACATGTTTTAATTTTACCTAAGTGCTTGGACAAAACTCACTTTTTCATTAACGGTCAAACGTAATGAAGACGATGTAATTGCCCGTAATGTGACAAAGAAAAATAACACATACACGAAATAACGGGCAACGGAGACTTTAAAAGTAGATAATCAATATGCGTTTTTTCGAGTTTTTTTTTTTTTTTTTTCCCAAAAGGGACGTTTTTCCGCGACGTTTCCCTCTCCCCTGAGCCTGGGTAACCCGTTTTTGCATGTGCTTTTTTTACAATCAAGATGGTATGTTTTTTGTCATTCGTGTTTTTATTCATATATTTTATAGTAATTTCAAATTCAATATTTCCACAAGAATAAATGGTGACTTATTCGTGTCATACTACTGTCCAGATTTTCATTTTTATTAATTTTTTCCCGCTTTTTTCTGTTCGAGATAATCTGTGTGTTGGGCTCTAGAGCCATTATCCCTAAAAATATAGCGTCAAAGAATTTGATAAAATAGAACATTTTCTTGGAAAAAAAAAATAGAAAACTAGGAATCCGCACAGAACTTATTGATATCATCTGTTTACAAATCATGATCATACAAATTCTCATCCAACCGTCCAAATCATTCGGTATGATTCTCAGTGTGCGGTGAGAGGTTTTTCGTCCCTTGGAGGAGCTTTGAAATAGGATCATCCCTGTGAGAGCGGTAACAATTTAACGTCGTCAACAGTTGCAGAATCTTTTTTCCTCGCCAGTCACACGTTTAATTCGCCGTGGCACTCGAGCAAGTAACCCTTGAAGCAGTCGCATTGTTTTCTACCCTTACCGCCTTACCCCGCCCCCAAAATTCGCTATCTCCCGAGCACTCGGCCGTATCTGCCAGAGACTCAGGTTTCGTAGCCTCGTTGCTAAATCGTATGGAGAGCAACCAAATCTGGCTTCAAATATAAACGTCCATAATGACTCCCGTGTTATAAATAGTGCGAAGGAATTGGAGTGTACACTGAAAAAAAAACACATTAGATCTAGAGTCTAGACTCTTGAAAACATTGACAAGAAAAAATACTCTTGATTCAATCGATTTTTGCTTAAATCAACAGGAAATCCGCTCAAATTAAGAGGCTTGGTTCTTGATTTAAGCAAAAATCCGATTGAATCAAGAGTATTTTTTCTTGTCGATGTTTTTAAGAGTCTGGACTCTAGATCCAATGTGTTTTTTTTTTCCAGTGTATATTTCGGCCAGATCAGTAAATAAGTTAGTCTGTAAAAGAAGACTTCATAATTACAACATGGGACCACAATTTCTGGGTCACCCATATAAGCGTCTATCTGCATCGGAAAACTAATAACACATATTATGTTTTTTTCATAAATAAGTAAGGATTAATGCTTCCTCAATGCAAATTTTATTTTTAATGGTCACGCATGGTCATAAATTATATTGGAACAAATATAATGCGTTTGCAGATTTTTTCCATACTCAAAGAGAGTATTATGTCATCTTTTTCAGCACCGGCGGATCCAGTAAATTGGCAATATTGTCTTTTCTCCATTTAAACATATGGAAATGTATCGATTCTTGGAGGGGCCGGGTCCTCCCACAAGAATCGATTATTTAGCATAGGTTTAAATGGAGAGAATCCGGTGTTGCCAAATTGCTGGATCCGCCTCTGGCATTTCAATGCAGAAAATTCTGTCCGCTCATTGATAAGCTGCTCCAATTTGTGGTGAAAAATTCCGTGGATTTTTGAACTTTAAGGCAAAATAAATAGGACGGAGACATCGGTTTTGACATCAATGTAGAACTTTTTGCTTTGGAGTTTCTGTAAAAAGTTTTGAATAGAGCTTAAAGGGAGTTTCAACTCAGAGTGCCGAATTCAAATGAAAAAGGATTGCTTTTTCTCCCGATGAAATATACACATCGTGATCGTGATCATGACCTAAAAAATCCTCTTGGGCAGGTTGATCTTTAAAATCTCCACAACAGGTTAAAAGTGATGGAACTAATCAGAGAACGGTGCGGACATGACAGTTATTCTCTGAATAAAATATTTAAGGAGTAATAAATTGTACAATTTTAGGATCTAAATAATTTTTATTATTATTAGGGGAAAATCCGAATGTAATCGTCTTCCAAAGGGATTTATTTTGATGCGCTAAAATATCTGCCGGTTTAGCAACACTGATCATTGGCGGCGCTCTACACACTGGCCTTCGTCAGTTGTGCATTCACTCTCTTCTTTCTCTTTCATTGTCGTTGAAGCAAAGATTTTTTTTGTAAAGATCGGTGATGTGGTTAAGATGATACACCTTTCTGTTTTGTTACTTAATTTTTATATCACAATGAAAGTCAGCGTGTTCATTGAAGTAGTAAATTCGATGATCGTTTGGTGGTAACTGTATCATTCTTTGAAACTCCAAACATGTGTAACTTCACCTCTCATATTACCCATATTCTGTTCTCTTTTTTTTTTTAATTGAGGCTAAGATTCTACAACTGCTCCACCTTCAAAACATCAACTGATTCGCACCTGTGAAAAATTGTAATGTTGTGCACAATTTCACCGGCATTTTCTTTTATTTGTATTTTACCTGGAAAGAACCTGGGATGATTCCACCTCAACAAATTGTCTTTTTTCAATATTTTTCTTTAAATTGAGCAATACGAAATTTTTACTGCTTTTTGATAAAATTTCAAGTTGAGTATTTAAACATTTCACGGCAACTTTGATTAAAAAATGTAGCTAAAATTTGAATAGATATACTTGATCTGGGCAGAGAGAGGTTAGACCAGCAGGCTATAAAAATGTCTAATAACTCTAAAACTTGGACTCATTTTGATGACACTCTGTTTAAATGTGTTATTTTTACCATAAACCAACAAAAATTCGACGAGCAACTGATTATGAGTGTACACGTCGTATGAGCGTCTTATCAGTTTTGATGCCGCACAAAATATGACCTAATGTACAGCCATTATCCACCCAAAAAGTGTAGTCATTTTACGTTGAAGCGATTGAAAGTGAAGGAGACAATAATCCGAGAGAACAATTTGGAAGCAAGGCATGTAGCATGGACGGTTTCTCATGAAAACTCTCTCTATTGTTTCGGACTAAAAATCAGTGGTTCAAATGTTGCTCCAAAATCACCAAGGCTTGTTGTTCTTCCTCCCGTTCTTTATCATAGTAGGCGGAGAAAAGCAGGACTCAGAAAAAACGGTAATGTCTGATTGGTTTTCTTTTAAATTCTCTTAAATATTCTTTTTTGAATCATGAGAAAAAGTGACGTCCATTATGAGTTTTGAATAGGGTTTTAATGAAATAAATAACTGGTGGGAAATGTAATTAACTCGCTTATAAAAGTAGAAGAGTTCTGCTTTATAAAATATGCACTGGAATTTACTTTATAATTGGGCTAGATATAAGATATTAAACTGATTTTTGCCCGAGGAGTGATAAAATAACATTTTTAATGGAATTTGTTTGCAAATGTCTCGTACCGCGGCAGAACCACGACTTAAATCTTTAAAGAAATGACGGGGAAATGCGAGTTTATTTGACCTGTTTACGCTGTAAGCACTGAGTTAATTGAGCCACGATAAAATGTTGTTACTAGTCCAAAGCGCCTTCAATTTTGTGTGATACTTAACCGCCCACAAACGAGTTAAAATATTTGTATCAGATCATTAAGCATCTTGTTACTAACTTGGAGGGACTTTCAATCGCTTATCGAATATTCGTGAGGTGTTGTCTAACGTTCAGTCGAAAGAAACTTAAAAAGTTATGGGCAACATTTTGAACTCAAAACATAAATGCAGTAGTTATGCTCGTCTTTTATCCTCCCAAAAATGTCTATACCAGCATTTTTTTAAAACAAGTCGATCATTCGAACACAGGTTCGACATTATACACGACATTATTCAGGACTATTATTACAGGACATTATTATTCATTATTACAGGTTCGACATAATTTATGGACGAACATATGAGGGGCTTTGAAGAGAAGGCGCATAAGTGCAGTTTTACAATGTCGATTAGTACGTGTTTGAAGTTTCGAAATTACAAGGAGCCTTATGGCAGAGAAAAAGTTCCAACTGACTTTATGATGTTTAAATATTGGAATTCAGCGGCCAAATTTTCACAGAATGTGCATTAAGACTTGAATTCATTAATATCTCAATTATTTAAAAAAACTGCACTTATGCGCCTTGTCCTCTAAGTCCCTCATTTCTACTTGGTCTGAAACTACCGCTCTCGCATGGTATTAAATCTTTGCCTTAGCATTTCAGAAAGTTACGCAAGTTCAGATATCTGTCGGATTGAAATCAATCATTATCTTCTCTTAAGTAGTGATGCTAAGAAACAGTCTAGTCAGTGATATACTTTACGAATAAATCAATTGGTTTTTTTTTTGTTATTGTCGCTCTTTTACATCTCACCGTAATTTCACAGTTTCCCGGTTTTGACTTTTAGGTTCAAAAAGCTCAGTATGATGAGGTGCGGAGAGAACTATCAAATTTGCAAACAAAGTTTGCAAAGCTCGAGGAAAGAATTCGTATGACTGAGGTAAGTAATATGATAAAAAAAAATACACACTTTTCAGTCTAAATGAAGTCATAATGTTATACATTTACGCTCCCATTCTCGGTTGTGGGAAACTATATGCTTGATGGGGTCGCTACCGCTCCTAGTAATAAACGTGCCACAGTAAGCAACCAAAATTTGATTGATTATACGTACTCAATGTGTTGAACATGCAGTTGACTGTATGTGCAACTCGTTGTTAAGTAAAAATTATCATCGGACACTAAGTTTGCTTGATCCTTTGAACAGGATATAAATCTCTGGAAATTAAGCCTGATTTATCTTTGGCATTGCACCAAGATTCTGAAGTGTCAGTATCACATTCCTTCCCTCTCTCACTTTGAGACCTTTTGAAGCTCTAAGTTCTATTAAAAAAATGATTCCTTATAAAGATCAAGTAGCTTATAACTCTCCCACAATCTCAATTTTTTTTTTCATCAAACTCTCCAGCGTATCTTGAAAAAGCTCAACTTTTATCACATGATAAGCCGCCTCAAACCATATGATAGCTGTTATTGTTTGACATGACATAGCTACACAACTGTGAAACATCTGTTATTTTGCACGAATGAAGTTGATAGAGCAAGTTAACTTGAGAAGATCCCTTGTTAGTGGGTTGCTTAATGGTAATGATGATAATCTGTTTATATGTTGCTCCAGGAGCTGCAAAAAGGATTCCAATCAATGGAGGAACAGCTACACTCAATAAAGGATGGCATTTCTGAGCAGTCAAAATTAGTGAAAGAAAAAATAAAAGACTTGTCCAAATTGATTGAATTGAAATTTATTAACCTAATTACTGTTCTTAAACCGATATAAATGTTATAAGTATTCAATTGAGCGTATTTATTTGATTACTTTCAAAAATTAATAAAAGGGTGCATCTGCCCTGACTTAAAAACACGATGTAATGTCGATGCTGCTTATCGATGGAGTTAGCAAAAATTCAAAAACTCTCCATTTTTAAGGAAAACTCCGATAAAAAGTATATTGTAAAATTAAAAACGAGAGAAAAATTGTAAGTAAAATTGAGAGAAGTTTAAACATAACAGAGGCGTGTGAGCCAAAGGACGGTCATCACTCATCATAATGACCTAAAATTCTTTAGAAAAGGGCCATTTTCTACAATTTTCCGAGTAAGCTTTTGAGATAGCTGAATTTGACTTAGATACATTGAAATTTGGACGTATTTATGCGAAAAGGCGCTAAACGCCATTTCCAAACTTCTCAGTAAAGCAAGTTTGACTAAAACAATTGGCGTTTCCGTACTAATGGACCGATTTTGGTTTACTTTAGCTTGTTTGAAAGCTGAAGAGTTCCTCTAATTACGTACGTTGCCAAAATTAGGAAAAAATGCATATTAAGCGAGATATAGGGGATTTTTGCACGTAGGTCCATTTGATTTAATGCGCTAACTCGGATTCCGAATTAAATCAAAAGGCGCTATATCTCCACTTGAATCACTTGATTGACGCGCGCTCGGCGAAGCTTGGTGGAAACTTGGTGAAATTTAGTATCGGGGGGTATTTTTGGACGGGAAACTCGAATTTCGGGTCAAATTTTGAAAATTCAGAAATCCGAGATGGCGGACATGGCCTAAAATGCTATCTCGGCCCCTATCCAGCCGATCTTGGTGAAACTTGGGATCAGGGGGTATTTTCGGACGGGAAACTCGAATTTCGGGTCAAATTTTGAAAATTCAGAAATCCAAGATGGCGGACATGGCCTAAAATGCTATCTCGGCTCCTGTCCAGCCGATCTTGGTGAAACTTGGCATCGGGGAGTATTTTCGGACGGGAAACTCGAATTTCGGGTCAAATTTTGAAATTTCAGAAATCCAAGATGGCGGATGTGGCTTAAAATGATATCTATTTCTTAAACAAACGCACTACACGTCTAGAATGGCCGCCAATGAACCTGCGTAAAGCGCACGGGCCGGGTTGTGAAGGCCGGAGGTGGTGGGAGCCCAAATATACCTACCTAACCTCAATCTGCTTTCCCGCTCCATCTTGCCAATGTGGATGAGATGTGGAAATTTCCACGTTTGTAAACTTTAAATATATGGCACTCTACACGGAGAAAAAAACTCGTGCGTGGGACCCGAAGTTTGGGTCATATGGA